TCCTGGCCTCAAGCAATCCTCCCACCTAACCCTCCCAAAGTTCTGGGATTATAGATGTGAACCACCATACCTGGCTTTGTTTTCTTTTTTAAAACCCTTTAAAGGAATGTAAAAATTATTCACAGCTCAAGGCTTTTGTCTGCTGACCCCAGCCTAGACTGCTCTTTCAAAGTAACAATATTTTTTTCCCCCATTAGGGCTCTAGTTACAAAGTTGTACAGATTATGAGTGGTCTGCCATAGCTCTATTTCGCTCCCTAACCTTTAGTGCTCAATTTTTTAGAATACAAGGATTTTCAGAAAAACATAAAATGTTTAGTAAAAATGCTAATACTAAAATATATCAGAACAAATTTTAACTATTTCAAGTGGTCACACGATGATAAAATGTATAATTACATAATAGCACAACACAGTATAGCAAAGATATAAATACGACTCAGTAAAGCTAATGAGATATAAATACAATTCAGTAAAGCTACCTACATTGATTATGTTAATAAAATTCTTCATTACAATGAGTTATAAACTGATTTACCTGAGCACTTCTATTTCTTCTGCTGTGTACCTCTGTCCTTGTGCATCACATGACTGTGGACTTATAAATGGCTGAGGTCTTTCAAGGAAGGGATTAGTTCCTAGTGGAAAATGTGCTCTTGTTGGAGGTGGCTTTGGTTTAATATTCGTTGACTTGATTTTACAAAATGGCTTTGTCAAAGGCTCACTCAATGCTTCTGCTCTATAATAGAGAAAGGCACAGAAAAATTGTTCTAGTTTTTCTTCTCACATTTAAGCTTTTTAGGAAACAAAATTTACTCTGAGAACTAGTTAAGGAACATTTCTGATATATAATCAGCACATAAAATTCTTACATACTAGTCAATATTTCACTACTTAAGGTACTCTCAAAGGTTTTTGCAAACAATATACCAACAACATTAATTGAGCACTGACTGTACATCAGGCACTATGCAAAGTAAGAAGTATACCAGAATGTATAAAACAATCCTTCCCCTTAAGATGCTCATAGTTTTGTAAGGAAAGATAATTGCATCAAAAACGACAGATGCTAGGATGGAAGTATTACATGCACATGAATGCACAATACAAGTTACTGATTTAATGACTGGGAAGAGAGGATGAAATCAGGGAAGGTTGTTCTGAATTGATGCTTGAACTGCAGAGGACTTGGGGAGTGAGGAAGCATTCTAAGTAAAGAGAAGAATAGGTGAAATGTGCAGAAGTATGAAACAACATAGTGAGTTCAGGTAATTTCAAAAGAACCGATGCAGCCCCTACGAAAAGTGCAAACAAGAGGCAGCAGGAGATGAGCGAGAGGAAGGCGTGGGCTGGATCATGGAAGGCCTCACATGATATGCAAAGGAATTTCGACTTTGTTCCATAGAAGAAGAACAAGCTAAAAAAACCAGAAATTCTTAACCTGAGGTCCATACATAAGCTTCAGCAATCTTGTAAACTCTCTGAAATTACACGCAAAAAAATTTTTATGTATGTTTCCCTGGAGAGTGGATCCATAATTTTCAACAGATCCGCAAAGAAGCCTGTGACTGATCCACTCCCTTTTGCTAAGGATGCACTCAAGAATATCTGATGGGTTATCCACACAGGTAATAAAAATCACCCATGATTCTGTTTGGTGAAAAAAGTCAAGATGGAGATAACAACTGTGTGTCAGGTGCTCATATCTTCACTAATTTAAGAAAACTAAAGTTAGTAGATTGTGGTAATAAAAAGGAGGCATGACTGTTATACCTCAATAAAAAAAGAAGGGCTGGGTGTAGTACAGCTATCTAGTCAGAGCCTCTAAAGGAGATAATTTTATTAATCCATGATATAGGTCTAAGTCCACCCTTTTCCTTTGTTTATAACACTCTTTTTTTTTTGAGACAGAGTCTCACTCTGTTGCCCGGGCTAGA